CCTATACCAGATGCAACTTCAAAAGAAATCCAAACCGATTATGCTGAAATCAGACGTTACAATTCTCAGGGACAGCAAGACATGAAGATTTAAGGGGATTCTTCTATTCTGATTAGCAGCTAAGTCCTCGGAAGACGCTGGCTCCAGCATCTTGCCTGTTTCTGTTTCTGTATTTAGAGATATGGACTGCCTGTTGTTTTCTCCAGCTGTTAAGCCCTGAACAGCACAGCGTGACCAGAGAAGCAAGATTCACTTGGAATTTCATTATTCACATTTAATATCAAGACATAAAGTGCTAAGGTACAGACTCTTGGAAACCGAACAAGTAAAACTCCCACCCTCATTTATGAGTGGAGTCTCTGGGAGGTCTTTAGGCCTTTTTTTTTTTCTCCCAGAATGCAAAACTGAAGGACTCCATGCCCTTTTTTTCCAGACTAGCTTGGCACTCAAACATCCCTCTGCTCTTTGTTTCTGACATTTGAAATGCTCCCCCCTCTTTCTCAGCCTCAGTGAGTTCTCTTATCAAAGTGCTCCTATCCAACTTGAGACACAGTGGCCTTCCATCCACCTGAAAGCTGCTGAGAGTTTCTGGGAAGAGACACAGCTGCTTTAAGGAGCTACATTCCAGTTCCTGTGCCCTCTGAAGCCCCTTTTAGAGACTGAATCCAAAGCTCTGCCCTGGCCTAAAGGATATACCAGTGATGTCCACTGGTCAGCAGGAGACTAGATCTAATCCGTGAAATCTTTGCCTTGTAATGTTCTGATGTATCTTTGTGCCTTCGAGTCATCGTTGTCTCCTGGCAACTGCCTGGAGCAGTGGCCGCAGTGTTCTCGGCAACATTTTTGGAAATGGTTTGCCCTTGCCTTCTTCTTCCTAGAGCTGAGAGTGAGAGATTGGCTCAAGGTCACCCAGCAGGCTTCCTGCCTAAAGCAGGATTAGAACTCGTGGTCTTCTGGTCTCTAGCCTGGTGCCTTCACCCCTACACCAAGCTGGCTCTCAATGTTCTGACAGTACCTCCATTTTTTATTTTTTTTTATCTGCGCTCAGTCGTTACCGACTCTGCAGTGACTGCTTGGACGA